GCAGCTTGAAGAAATAGATCAACTTTGTTCGGCTCCAATGTCAATTTTTCTACCTTCGATAATTGAGAGTACTGCCTCTCAAATTCCCTTAGTAGCTCTGTTGCTTGCAAATTCTTATTGGGCCGTTCAATCCATCCCAGAAACAGCTTCTTAGTAACGCGATCAGCATCTTCCAAGAAATATTCGTCTTTCAATGCATGTGAAAAATCCTCCCATGAATTCCCACAATGATCCGTAATCGATGTAATGTGGTCCCTTATCTCCGGTATCGTGGCAAGTCCAAATAGTGCAACCATTTTCTTCTCAGAAATCCGATTTAATTCCATTTCACGAACATAACATCTTAAATACCTTGAAATATTCCTCCCATCAAATTGATCAATTTTATTGACCACTGCTTGCAATGCTTTGGTTGCCAAAGCTTCCTTTCGATCATTGCTTTGCTGTTGCTGCATTGACAATGAGAAGGCTTGAAACAAACTAGCAATAGACGGATCCATGTGCATACCTTGTCCTTTAGAAGACTCCCCACCAGAAACTTCTTCCAAAAATCCTTCAAAATTTTTATTTTCGTTTTCTATAAAAATAAAGATAAAATCAACCGAAATCCAATACCTTCCACCTCAAGCTTTCACGTCGGGTTCACCACTTATGTCGTATTACGTGCTTTCCTGCTCAAGAACGCGTCGGGCGTCTGGCTGTAGAAGGTAGTATGGAGATTCGCCGATAGTCAAGCAGTCTATCAGTTTTTGACTGCTGGAATATAAACGACTACAATAATGTACCGTAAATCTATACGGATGCTCTTCAACTGCTTATCGAAGTCTTTTTTTTGCCCCAGCCGATAGGTCTCTAGACGTTACAGAGAACCCCGAACAACCCAAACTGTTAATCTTCAATACCCCTTTGTACTTACGATCTTGTATCCACTGACTGTCCTGTTAGATTAACCCAATAAATTTCATTCACTCCGCATACTCAATCCTATAGACACCCCTTTAATCCTTCAATCACAGACGTAACTCGATTTTACAAAACAGTCAAGAGTATTCAAACCCACTTCATTTAAAAATCCCGATTCACCATTACAACACTGACTTCAGCAGCGATTGCCTCAGTCTTCCCAAAACTCTACGAAGAAGAAAAATCCAAATTCTATGTCTTTCCTTCCCTGACCCGAAGCATGAAGCTCCTCTCTCTAATTCCCTTGATCTTCAAAAACCTCCAATGAAACCGAACTGGTAATCTTGCAAAAGCTTGAAAACTAGCTCCTCCCCGATTCCCCGAAAGAAAAAAACCTCCTCCCTCAAAACTATATCCCCCCTAACCTTATCCTCTGAATTTCTTCAATCTTCCGTCTTAGATCCGGAATTGGCTCCCACCTCAAGCTTGGATCCGAAATTGGCTCTCGCCGTCAAGCTTTCTCCTCCGTTTTTACCTTTAAGAAATCTATTTACCGAAAACAACGTTCCCTGAAATGGCACAGAGAACAGGACAGCCTGAAACAGAATCGAACCCCGTAATCGGGACCACATTGAGTCGCCCGACCAATTCAGGTCCTATATTGGGAAAGATGCCCGTAGTAACCTGGATGTTCCCGTAATTGGGTCAAATTGGTCCTCGCGTCAGATTGGCTAAGACCCGTAGTAAGACCTGGATTTCCTGTAATTAGACTGCATTGGGTTGACCGGCCAATTCAGGTCTCATATTGGATAAGAGGACCCGGATTGGATTATCGAAATTGGATCCAATTGGCTCCTCGAACCCGTCGTGTGAATTGGTCCTTCTTTTCCTGCTGATTCCCGTTATTGGAATCGAACGGAGCATTTCAGTATGCCCCGGCTGACTGTAACGGAGTGACTGAATCTGACCACTCAGTATTTGTACTAGAGTTGGTCGATGCTCCCAATATTCGAGGTAACTGAATATTAATAAAATTCCCCTTTCTTTTTATTTTCACTGTATACTCATGTTACAACATGACAACGTAACAAAATATAAATAAACAAGTATATATATTGAAAGAGAAATTGGAATGGCTATTGCCAAAAGACAAGAAAATTAGAGACCCTTGAAACTAGACTAGAAGCAAGAAAGGAATTGACAAGAGTGAAGAAGCCTTCACTCTTGTCTCTATATATACTATCTAACTAGGGGCTACGTGGCGATGTTCTATAGGACCTCCAATATGTGTTGACTTTGTAGGACACATGCCTTGACTTACAAGGCAAGTTTTTTTATTGATGGGCCACATAGTTAGCTTGATCTTCAAGCTAACAACATGTGTGGCACATGGCCAACTTGTTGACTACGTTTCTAATCCAAAAAGTCAATTAAAGACACCTATGAAGTCAAAGCAGCGTCTAGGAAGTTTCTAGGAAGCTTTCATATTAAATATTATATAATTAACTTACTTTTATCTACTTTTACTTACTTCTACCTATTTCTATATGTAATTATTAGCTTACATGATTATGGCCGTGACAACCATACAAGACAGTGGACATACCAAGAAGATGACAAGCTCCACCTCCTCCTATAGAAGTGGACAATAATGAAGAGTTTGAAGTGGAAGAAGTCTTAGATTCAAGGTGGCGCCGAAATAAATTAGAATATCTTGTCCATTGGCACGGATATGATATTAGTGAACGCACATGGGAGCCAATAAAGAATCTTACAAATACAGCAAAGGCGGTGGAGGCTTTTCATCGACGACATCTATCAAAATCAAGATGAAAATCTTCCTTATAAAAAGAACAAGATCTGGGCAAGATAACATTCTACTTTCAATCCTTATTTGTAGCTTCTTTATAGTTGTGAGGCTTAGGAGATGGAGAACCAATAACCAACAGATACGACTCAAGAACCTTCGTTTGTTGACTTATTGGATGAGATATTACGATTGTCACAACCTTCAAGATGACGCAATCGAGATGAAGATCTTCAAGAACGATATGTTCTTCCTCGAATAGATGGCACGATAGAACGCGTTTGGTATCACGACTTGAGAAGGGATTCCCAATATTTGGTGATTTTACTAGAGGTAGGAACAACTCCTAATAGTGTACTAAATGTTCTATTCAAAGGAAGTTATGAAGGCCTCAACAATGATCAAATAAGTGAGTGGTCTTCCCACCCTAGTATGGGACACTATCGATGGTTGAGAGGCCCTATCAATCATCTTCGAAAAGAACAAAGATCAAAGTATGTGGCGAATATAATTCGTCGCATCATAGATTTCCTCAACATATGATGACCACTCCTCGTGGAACTTGTGCCTAGAAGGGGGGGTAATGTCACGGACATATGCATGTAAGCCAATAATTACATATATAAATAGGTAGAAGTAAGTAAAAATAGATAAAAGTAAGTTAATTCTATAGTATTTGGTATGAAAGCTTTCTAGAAGCTTCTTAGACACTGCTTTGACTTTATAGGTGTCTTTAATTGACTTTTTGAATTAGAAACGTGGTCAACAAGTTTGCCATGTTCCACACATGTTGTTAGCTTGAAGACCAAGCTAACAATGTGGCCTACATGTAGAAAAACTTGCCTTGTAATTCAAGCCAAGTGTCCTACAAAATCAATACATATTGGAGGTCCTATAGAACATCGCCACATAGCCCCTAGTTAGATAGTATATATAGAGACAAGAATGAAGCCTTCTTCACTCTTGTCAACTCCTTTCTTGTTTCCAGTCTAGTTTCGAGAGTCTTCATGTTTTCTAGTCTTTGGCAATAGCCATTCCAGTTTCTCTTTGAATATACATATTTGTTACCTTTCTTTGAGTAAAGGCTCACTTGTCTGAATTACTTTTTCATCGAGTTCTTGTCCTTGATACATATTTGATAGGAATATGTATATATATATATATATATATATATATATATATAGATATATAAATATATAAATATAAGACTTATCTATTCAATAAATTCTTTTTATACAATATAAATAAGATAAAAATAAAAAGTAAAAGCCAAATATTTATTTATATTTTTTACACTATGAAAATAAAATAGATAGTTTATATAAAGACTACATGTACATTGTGATTGTAAATATTATGTTTAGACTAATTTTTATTTAGGATTTAGAATTATATAGGTATTCTTGGTTCAAGGTTTAGGATTTTAAGTTGTAGGATTCCAAGGTATAGAATTTAGAATTATATGGATATCTCTAATTTTTTGACATCTTTATTATTCAATTTTGATTTGACCTACTACCTATTTTAAGGCCAAAGATGTTAATGTTATAAATAACTTGTTCTACAAGTTTTTAGTTTATAAGATATAGCCACTTTGACATTTGTTTTAGAAGTTTGACTTATGAAAATTTTTGCAATTTTTGAGTAGATTATTGTCTTTAATTTAGGATTGAAAAATCGAAATATGTATTTCATAAATATGTTACCTATAAAAATAAAAAAATTACAAGGTGTTATTATGTTCATACAATGTTAATGCAACCCACCAAAGCACAATATAGCTTTTAAAATGTAAAATATTAAAAGAATCATTAAGAAAACTATTAATATTTGTTCTTGATGTAATATACTTCAAGCTTTGATTCTACTTAAAATAATCAGTCAAAGGATTAAAATATCCATTATCAAATTATTTTTGATTACAAGAATTTTAAAATGTTGGAATAGCTCAATTATACTAATCAGGATTAAAGCTTAGTTCAATAACATGCTAATACCAAACATGTCTGGTAGGAAAGTAGTACGAATGGATGGTAATCACAAGCCTTAATCAATTCATGACAAGTATATGTACAGACTTTAGTTAATCTAGAATTGTGCCGAAGAAGTACAAGGCTATTGCCGTACCGACACCGAAGGGGCAAGAATTTTTTACTTTGATGAAATATGAGAGTATGCAATGTAAAATTATGAATTCTTTGTGTGTCGGTAAACGAACAATCAATTATGCAGAGAATTGTAGCTTAGTCGACGATTACCACGGCGAGTCAGCTGCGCCTTGGATGGGAAGTACTTGAAGAAATTACTGGATTAGAAAAGTTGAAAGTAGCATAATCTGGTATGTGTTGTGCACACAGCCCATCAGACCTATGAGTACATAATCAACATCTACTTGAACAACTAATAAGTTGATTAGGTGCAGAGCCTGCACAAAACGCATGCAACATGCCAATACGGAAAGTTTCCAATGAATAATGACCAGTTTCCAGAGCTCTGCTTCCCATTTCAGTGGTTGAAACAGAACTTCCGCTGGATGGCAATACAGTTTGTGGGTGCTGATGGATCCATGTGTATATTAGTATATTGAATAAAACTGCTGTACTGCTCCCCGCAGGATGCTTCCACTCGCAGTAGATCATGATGGTCGCAGAGAAACTGATGATAAATTGCCCATATCTTCAAGTTCTTACATTTACAGCTTACACAAAAGCTCTCAAGACTCGACAGGCCACTGGACATGTCAAGGTTACACTAAAAATTCAATAATGTCAGATTAGACTCTGGCTAACATTCAGCTATTAGCCTAGCTGTGGTAATGTAAAATGGCTTCAGGTCACGATTGTATCCGAGTCAGCAATCTGCAACATGCAACAAACAACACGCTAAAGAGTTACAAATGAGAAGCGGTCCGCATGAGAAAATGTATACCGATAGCAGATGATTCCAACGTATAGCCAAACCTTCATTTCACTTAGGCAGCAAATTCTCTAATTGGCAAGATTTCCACGAAATCCAGATACAAGTGAGGTGAAAATGCCACCAGGTCTCAGGAAAATGTGAAGCCAGGTGCAAATCTCATCTAATCAAGGGGTCAATTTATTTAACTTCGCGAAAAAGGAAAGAAAAAACAGAAGAACATTTTAAATGATTAAGCTCAAATAGAACAGGTGGAAGAATGGGACCTCAGGGGATATGGTTCCGACATCGAAGAGCAAGACAGTAACCGCATCGGCACATTCGACGACGGGGAGTTCTTCTCTACCCTGTTCGTCTTCGCACTCGGATTCATTACAACCCTACCAAAACACAGGTGAAGCAACTAAGCAATGCACAATCTACTAACAGGTGGCAGTTTGAGACGAGGACGTCACTGCCCCGGCCCCTGTTCCTGCGCTTGCCCTTCCGCCTGGGGCCTGGATTGCTCCAAGTGCTCCTTGGCCCTAAACACCTTGGATTGAAGATAAAACGACCCGACCTTCATATTATTCTCAAACATAATCTCGTACTTCTTCACCACTTCCTCCCACGGCGCATTCTCTGCCACCCCGAGAATTTGCCTGGCTTCGTGCTCCGTCATCGTCTTACTCACCTTGTGAGCCATATTCTGTACCGTCTCCTGAGCCACGCCCGTCTTGCTCGCGTTGACGATGGCTTGCCGGTAAGCCTGTGAGAAGGCTCTCACCACCACACCCGACCCCAACACGATCAAATTCGCAATCAACTTCGCCGCCATCTCCTTCTTCTTCCCTCAGACACAACCAAATTCTTCCCCCAAAAATCACGTCCTCTCACCAAAATGGAGTCCGCATTCAGCACTGAACCAAATCCCCGAACAACGAAACCCTCAAAATGGAATTGCGACAACAAAACGAAGCCAACGAGAATGGCTCCAATAGACCCTAAAACGCTGAATGTATTAGCCTCCCATGGACCTGCCAGCTCACCCTCGCCCATGGAACCCTTCCCCAACCCCGCCCGCGATTCATCCTTCTCTCTCTCCCTCAATTAAATTGATTCTTCTGCTGCTTTGAAGCCCTGAAAGAATAAACTCAAATTTTTAATGCTTTTTACCTTATCCTTGAGACGATACTAATAAATTGACAAAATATATGAACGGATATTCTACATATATATATATATATATATATATATATTTACATTGGGGAATGTTAAATACATCCAAGTTTTTACTAAATCGACCCACCCATCTTAACCATCATGTGGGTCTATTTAGTAAAAGTATGGGTCTATTTAACATTCCCATATAAATAAATAAATATATATATATATATATATACATACATAAATATAGTAGGAAAATGATACTTTTAAGCAGGTTTCTATGAGTTTGTGTGAGGATATGAAACTGATGTCAGATTTGGAGTGCTGATTTTGGGTTCTTTTGGATTTGATTATATGATAGACTGAAATATTTGAACACAGAAAAACCTAACAAAGAAAAAATAAAAATAAAAAGGAAATTTTGAAAAAATGTAACTTCAATCAATATAATTTTTTTAAATACTTTTACTTTCGTCATTGTAGGGTAAAAATAATTTTTGTCCTAAAAAAGAATCACAGTAATGTGTTTTGTAATTATTGTCAAATGTAATGTATATGTAATTCTATGAAAAGATCTAGAATATGTTATAAATCAATGTTTAGAAGGTAATCTATATTTTTGAAATATATATATAAATTAATAAATGTTATTTGTATTTAATATAAAATTATCTATTTTTTTATTATTTCAATATAATACTTAAAACAAATCCTAAAAGATAACAAAGTGTAACAAGTTATTGAAAACTGTTACAAATGAGCTGTCATAAGTTGTTTAAAATAAGATGTAATAATATGTCTATTTTCTACTTACTACTTTATTGAATATACATATTTACTATTTTTAGCTCAATGTTAAAAAAAATCATTTTACTTATATAATGCATGATTAACAAAATAGGAGCACCTTATAAGCTTATGAAAGGTTGAGAGTATCACACCAAATTATTTCTTGACGAACAAACACGTTTTTTTGCAATAGAGGTTGTACTCAACTTGAATGTGGATTTAGATAAAGATGTGGATGAAAAATATGGGCACAGACAGGGCAAAAACCAGGAAGTTGGACAACCAGCACTCAGGTTTCAGATGTGGAAGAAACAATCGGCTTTTAATTCCAATTACCTGCATATTTTATATACTTTTTGAACTACAAATTTCCTCTCAGTTTCAAATCTATGCCGTCAGCTCCAAGCATGATGTATATTCCCCTACATACTTCAGCTCTTCTCAAAATGCTGCAGTATCAAGAATATAATACCAGATATCTCTTAATCTTTCTAGCAATTCAGGATGGTGGAAACTATACTGTCAGCCTACAGCATCCAAGAGCAGGATGGTTTGTTTAGAGTCCCAAACCAGCTTGTCACAGACTTCAATTACAGTGTTAGAATTCCAGTTTCACAGGAGAATTCAACTCTAAAGGCACAATGCAAAGAAGCTCTGTCGCTTCGTGTGGACTGTGCGTGGTGGTTATCAGCTGCCATGAGTTGTAACAGCCCACTATGCATTGCACTTGCTAGATTGGGGATCGCACGCGTCATAGCCCGTCACGCCTGGGCGCTGGAGCTCCTCACCCTCCAGGCATGCACAGCGTGTCCGTGGAGGGCCCATTTTGGGACCCTGGGTAATCAACTCAATGATGCGTGGGTACTTGCCATCATCGCACCAAACCTGTGTTCAGTAATTCAACAACAAACGTCAGCCTGTTGAATGCACAAGAACTTGAACTCGTTCTCAATGTAGTATGAATCAACGGATTACAAAACGTTGTCTGCAGATGTGTACCTCTCCGCCTTCGTCTTGCGCCCACCTAGAGCTGCAATTTGGAAACTGTTCTTCATCTAACTTTTGTTGCTTCTCAAACTCTGCCGCCTGCTTTATCTTCTTCTGCGCTATGTGTAGCTTCTTTGTTGGTAACCCATCCTTGTTATAAAAAGTTCCAACTAGCTTACCCAAGTAGCTGTTACAATTTCAAATACAGCGACATCGTGAGTAATAGACACAAATCTATACAAAGTTTTAACAGAACATAGCGGAAAACTACAATTAATCATCAACCCTATTTATATGAGTAGTAATGGGAAGTTTTACATGTAACGGCTCACAAAGAACAATCTCCAATCATCAATAGCCTTGATCTGCAAGCATAGCCAATGAATCTCAGGTTCAAAACCATATAAACACATGATCCTGGACAACTTTATAGAACCCAAAGAATCACATGAAAAAATATGTTCAAGGTCGGCTCACTTGTGACGATGTGAGGCCTTCTAAGGAATCTATCAATCCATCATCTGGCCAAACACACACACCGACTGCACCAGTCAAACGGACTGAAACGACCACTTCGGAGCACCTCCAATCATGAGAAAAATAAGAGTCAAGATTATACTCAGCATTAACAATTCTGATTAACAGGAACTACAGTAACCTTTGAACCAAGGAACTACCAATGTGATGAACAAAATTTAGTACGATAATTTCATAATGATAGCTGCTTACCAGTAAAATTCCCTGAGACAAATGCACGAGACGCATCTCTGAATATTCAACCAAATGAGAGAATTATATGAAAGAAAGACAACACCAGGATGACATAAACTCGTGAAATAGCCAAAAGATCGAGCAATGAGTGAGGAAAAAAATCATAAACGATTAAATAGTCTATGATAGTGATCTTTTATTATATCCAATGCACAATCACTGAAAGAAGAGGAAGAAAAGGATACTGAAAAACTAGTAACAGGATTCAGAGAGTAAAGATTGTTCCGCACCTTCCCACGAAGTGGTGATAGCTGCCCCCAGGTCCATAGTGCTTCCAACCTTTACTGACATCAAAAACACTCCTAGCAATTCTCATGCACACATAAAATCAATAAGGATACCTGCAAACCACCTTGACATTATGATGACTTTAAATAGACATTGAATTGGGCAGATTTAGGAGAAAGAGGGAAGCCTTACCCCAAAATGCTCAAAAGTAGAGGAGGCTTGTTATTCGTTCCATTGTGAACTTCTAATTCCGCACTTGTCCAGAGTCGCTGCAGACACAAATACGGAAAACTATTTTCAGCAAAATGTTAGGTGACAGAGATACGAAATCCTGCTGCGTCAACAGCATAGAGACAACTTTGAGAAACGTAACATTTCTGATCCCCTGATATTAAGCCTATGACATCGAAATTTACACACAAAAAAAGATTTTCAACCGCCAATCGACTAAACAAATTATAATAGTGCACCACAAGACATTAAAGTGGTGCAAAGAACATGGTAACAGCAGATGGTAACCATAATCACAGGATCGTTTAAAAAAGAAAAAATTGTATCAATCATGTTAAAGAAGTATTCCTCGAAAATCTGTATGGCAATGGAATCATCGCTTGCGAAAGCTAGCTTGACAGAAACAAAGTTAACTGGACAGCAGCACAGTCTGGGAGTGATGATTGCTTACAGGTTTCGTAGGTATATTTGGTGTGGAAACGTAAACAACAAGAGAAGCGAGGGCTACGGACAAGAAAAGTCCTAAGCATCCAGGTAGAAATTTCAGATGCCGTTCCCCAGCTTGTCTTCTAATTCCAGATTTCTGTACCTGTGACTCCCCTGGTTTCTCAAAGTCATCCTCGAAAGTTACACTTCTCTTGGCACGAGTACTAGGTCGAGTACGTAAAGCACTTGGCTTCCTCCCCGTGCTTTCAGGTTTGCTCTGTACTTCAGGTGATATTTGTGATCCTTCACTTACTCCCCCCTTCTGTTGAGCTGTATCTCGAAGTTCGAATGAAGAAGCCTGTGACGCCTCCGCAGCTTGCAGAGACTCCCACACCGACTCTAAGGATGGCCGTGTAACCACCTCCTCAGTTTCAATTTGGGGTTCAGATGAGATTTGTGCCACTTGTTCGGAATTTTGAACTTCAGGTGATTTCTCTACACTTTGGTTTGCCATCTCCTCGTCTTCAGCGACGATTTGAGGCTCTGGTGACTTTTCTAGAACTTGATCTATCCTCTCAGCATTATCAGCTGGAACTTGAGGTTCATGTGAGGTTTGAACATCATTAGCGTCTGCAGGTAATTCCATTCTGACCTGATCCTTCACTGATCACTCCAAAATAAGCTGTGAAACTCCCCCCGCTTCCTCTATATCATTTGCACAACATCCCCCCCCCCCACCCGCCTGTTACACCAGGATTGAACCATATCATGCGGATTCCCAGCAAGTCCCCCAAAGTGCAGACCACCATCTACCACCAGTCTTACGACAAAAATTCCTGATGCACAACTGGACCAGCTTATTCAAAAAAATTAACAAAAGAATAAGCTACGGATATTAACCTGCAATTTCTTTGATACTACAGACCCTCCAGACCACATCCTACCGCCATAGCCCAAACCCTCCGACGTTACGTTAAATTCTCACTTCTACAATACAATCCACCGAGCAACGCACCGGAACCAAGGTTCAAAGGAGGCTTACAAGGTAAATAGACAAGAAAAGTCCGCTCCCACCACACAATTTAATAGATCAACTGGCCCCCGATTCTTCCAAAAACCCACCGATTCACAAACCTCACTGTTCTGCACTTCTCTTCGCGCAATGTAGCCAAGCCAATCCTGCACGATTCTGCACAGACTCTACACGATTTCTAAGCTGCTTACTCGACCAGCAAGCGACGCTCTACGCAAACGTGCTTCGCTTTGTACACAACCCTCCAGCTCGCACCTCCAACTTCTCGATCCCCACAACCCAAACCTCTAGATCTAGATCTCCAAATTCCTATACCGAAGTTGCGTGCGGGTAAGCTCTACGCATCGAAAATCCTAACGAACCCATGCGCCCAAAAACCGCACAGATTCAACCATCTTGGGGGAATTTTCACTGCGGAGCTCGCTCGCTCTCCCGCGGGGAGCAAAGAGAGCTGCAGACCAACGCCGCAGTCCGTGCTTGACGAAGCGTTGGCTACCGACGGAGGAACGTCGACGATTGTGGACGATCGTTCAGAATCGGTACCATCTTCGTTGGGTCTGAGTGGCCGAGCCTCCTGCTTCGGTTGCGGCCAACGACATCACGCAAACTTTAAATGCGTGATTTTCCGGGGCCCATTTTCTTCGGTTATGTTTATTAGTGCCCCCATTTTAAAATAAATATTAAATTTACGTTTGGGATATTTTGTTTGGATTTTTTTAATGACAGCTAAAAACTAATATCTTTTAAAAATCTTATGACATGGAGTTTTATCGTTTTTAGTTTCTTATTCTTTTTGATGTGCTCTTTTGATTACCCCTTATTTGATTACTTCTATTCTGGAAACCCTTTCTTTTATGTATTGTTTTTTGAAAGAAAATTCAAATGAGTACTCTCTCTCTCTATATATATATAGTTGATATACATTTGTCAATGAACTTGATTATAAAAACTATCTATGTTGATTTTTCGAAAGTAATAATTTATCATTTTTTATTTTTCAAGACTAAATGTTTATAGTACAAAATCTAGAAGATTTACAAGTTTATTAAAAAATCAAAAGAGCTATCAAAAATATATCAACAAGATGGTGTTTAATGTCTTATATTCAAAGGATATCTTAGAAGACAATTCTTTGTCATAATTAAATTTTCATACAAAGTGCAATCACACTAAAGTTATTGGGATTTTACTGTTAAAAATTTTACTTTTAAAAATGGTACAAAGATTTTACTGTTTGATGTTTCATGTACATGTTTATTTACTTTGCTTGTAAAATTTGTACAAATAGATAGATAGATAGATAGATAGCGAGAGAGAGAGAGAGAGAGAATTTAAAAGTACCGCTGAATATGTATATTTCTAAAGTTTTTTTTTCACAAAAAATTTACTTAATTTTTTGTGTTATATCATGATTTATTTAAGTCAAATTTAATTAAACAATATGTAGATTAATATTATATTTTTATATTTATTTGAAACTTTAATAAAAATCTTTATGTGGTAAAAATTTATTTTTAATAGACATTATTTAATATATACATATATGTATGTATGTATGTATGTATGTATGTATACATATATACACACACATACAAACATTGAAAAATACACATACATTTAAAAAAAAAAACTTAATTATAAAAACTTGTCACTTAACATGATAAACACAAATTTAAGTTTAATAATTTATGGTGACTTATGCTTATTTAAACCTTTTTTTAAAGTAATTTAAAAATACTATCTAGTATATATAGTATAATATATAATATAATTATATACTATAGTAGAAATGAAGAAATTGAATTCTATACACACTTGGAATATGTCGACTTTTTATTAATTTATATCCACATCTAAAAAGTGTAAATATAAATGTAAATTCTCAACTCTATATTGATCTCGAAATTCTAATCAATCTTGTGTTGTATGTACTAATTTATTAATTGTAGAAGACATGTTCCAAGTTAGTAGTTGCCACACATTAAACATGTAACATATCAAAATTAAAATTTATAACTTGAGTTATTTTTGTTATTTCATATTCAAATTAAGTCATATTTAAGTCATATTTTAAATTCTCATATATTTAGAATAAGTGACATTTTTTATGAGCAATGTTGTAGTTTTATTTATTTACAAGCATATTGATTTTTGGAATGGACAAAAGAGAGAAATTTGTGTTGCTTCATTTCTTATGATTTATTTTAATGACAACAAAATAAATTTAAAGTGATTACAATATTCTTCAAAAAAAAAAGTTATATCTAAATTCAAGGGGATGCAATAGCATGGACGACCAGAATTAATTTTGTTATTATATATATCTAGCATTTAAATAATTTCAGTATGTACTATTGAATGACATGTTTAAAGTATGATACTAATATTATATCTCAAGGGTAATGAAAAACTCTAACAAACGTATTAAAACTACTGGTAATTTTAATAGAAACTGGATTTTTTACAACATGTATTTTGTAAGTCGTATTCAAAATTATTTACAATTACATTATCAAACATACAAAAATTCTACCTTAAATACAATATTTTGAAAGTAATTAGCTAATATATGTTTAGAATATTTTTTAAAAGTTATAAATAATATAGCTAATCTTTTTATTTTTTTCTTAATTTTAAAAAATAATATCATTTTAGAATCTTCGTTACATTTTGATTTTGATTTTGATTTTGATTTTGATTTTTTTTTTTTTTTTTTTTTGTATAAATGTATGCATGATAAGTTGATAAAAACTAATTTTTGATAAAATCGTCTTATAGAAGTTTAGAAAACCATTTTAAACAATAAACTCCTACTAATATTTTACACTCGCAGGTGTGACAAGACAGTTCTTATCTTACGAATTTTACAAACAAATGAAAAAGATCCAATTGAATTCTATATTATTAATTATGTATTTGTATCTTTTAGACTGCAATGTTTTTCACATAATTTAAATATAACACATTGATTATAGTTTTTGGTTTTTTAGTGATTTTGGCATGATTTTTAATAACTTTACCAGACAGACGTACTTCTATTGTATTATAAATTCTTGGATTATGTTTAAATTCTTTGATTTAATAAACAAATTCATGACACAATGAAATATATTAGCGAGATCGAAATAACAAAAGTTTTCCCCAGCAATCGCTGTGATCAACCAGGGCTCAAAATTGTTACACAAAATAATAATCGCATATCTAGAAATAGATGCTGCAAAGTTGAAACACGAAGAGTTCAAATCTGCTGAAACAACTTGATAACACATTCAGGTATTAATGGCTCAGCCTAATATTAACTAAAAAGATTTTGCAAGCGTCAATAACATGCACAGAGCAAGCGTAATTAACGTGCTTACGGCACATGATGTTTTCAAATCGAAGTTGTAAACTAGTGAAACATTCAATAGGAATTAATGAACCTATCAATCTGCACAATAACTGAAAAGTAAAAAACCGAAGTGAGCAAAGAGATCATGCAAGTTTGTCTCGTAACCTTTAATATCTATACATTGATGAAGCACCAGGTGGGGGTGGCGGCGGCGGTGCTCGCCGCCCAGGTATGCGGCGACTACTACCCACATCCACATTTTCATCACCATCGCTGTAGTTGCTGTTGCGTGACGAAGGTCGTCCATTCATAGAGGGAGAGGGAGCTCTAGATGACCGCGAAGGTGAACTAGAGTAGCTGGACCGAGAGGATCCTGCTCGATCAAAGGCTACACGCCATTCCTCTGCGTCAGGCATGCCACCTGCCGTCGAATCCGCTGTTAACAGAACAAAACCCATTTCAGATGCAAAAGATGCAGATGAAAGGTTGTACATAATTTGTAGCCGAAAAACAAGAAATATCAACCAAGTAGGTGGATTAAAACTTACAGGCATCCCCATAACCGGTCACCGCAGCCGTGCGAGCTTCCTGAAGACTTAGTTGCCTGGTCAACTTGGATAATGCTGCCGCTTGCCTAAGAGCTTTCTCACGCCGAGCTTTAACCTCTTGATCTTCTTGTAATAGTTCTTCAATCCTGTTTGATTCTTGCGAACTGTTGCACAGAGGTCAATGAAAACGTAAACTCGCGCATTTAGAGATTGATTTTTACCCACATCAAGTGGAAAAGTAAAAATATATTTTTGAAAACGAAACAAAATCAAAACCCCCACAAACAAACAAACAATATAAAAAAACCACCGAATTTTCTTAAATTAAAAGTCTCAGATTAAAGTAACATGTACCTGATGGAGCTATAAAGGTGATTTAGCATAGCATCCTTGGCCCTCTCCACTTGACAAAGGACCACTGCCTGAAATGTGAAGCATAGTGTTGAAGTTGTTAAAAAGCAAAGCCACAAAACCAATGAAACGGAAACTTGACCAATCAATAGTTCTGCGCAACATGTGTATCTTCCACAAGCCTAACCTCATACTCACTAGACTCTAACAACACTTTACCAGCATCAGTGACAGCCTCCAATCCACGACCGCAACTAGCTGTAAGAGTTAGTACACAATCGTCGTACTTTCATGCTTACACCATATAAGTTCAAGTTAGACATGATAATCTTCACCATGCATGCAAGGGTAAGCAAAAAGCTCTAGAACGTGAGGCAAAGATTTTACCTTCGGAACATTTGCAGACAAACTGTTAAGCACAGCCTCCACATAATCTCGAACTTCTTGAGCCATGAGTCTCAAATCCTCCTCTGGATCTATTGGTTTCCTCAAAACTGTCGATGTATCCTACGATCAGCAATGTATATTTGTATTAAGAAGCGTAACACCAACCAATGCTTGAACAAATTGTCTTAAATCAGAAGAGCAATTCTTGGTTCCACATAATTTACTTACAGGGCCATCATAAGTAGATCTTGTTATTACATTGCTCTCAGAGTCTTTTGAGGACCTAAGAGAATCTTTTGAAGACCTGACAGGATCTTCGGAGGACCCTCCCTTAGCCTCGATACAGGCTCTAATCCTTGCCATCCAGTCCAGCTTCTCAGCCATGTTCTCAGCTTTCACTACAAGCGAATGACTCGCTGCCAATATAACAAACAGCTGTTAGAACTGACCATCTAATAAGTTCTAAAATCCTTCAAATAATACTAGGTGTATCTACATAGCAAGTAATGAAGAACAAATGATCAGGCAAGCCTAGCTTAGTTGTGAAAAAGCATCATGAACCAATAAAGCAATAGAACATCGAAACAGAGCAGATCTATTTGCCACAGTTTTTCAATGTCGCCCACCAAGTTGGAATCATTGAGATATTACATTGCTTTTCTATCCAACCAAATTAGTTTCTTACGATGTACTACATAAAATTCAAGCATGATACCACCAAACCAGATATATGTAATCTTTGACCAGTTTCACAACTGAAACTCAAACTGAAGGTAATACCTTTTAGAACCGTCTTGTAAGCCACTTTATGACTGACTCTGAAAATCAGGCTAGAAGTTGGCTCATCTTTTTCTGCTGTCCCATTAGCCTTTTTACTCTTTGATGATTTAGCATTTGCATCCTCTGCTCCATTCTCCTTATTATCAGGACCATCCTCAAGGATACATTCTTCCAAGGCAATCACTCCTCGGAAAGCCCTTTCCTCGGGCTTTTGCGTGTATGCAAGCTGCAAATGAGAAAAGCCACATATAGCATTTTAGTTACTTAACACCAAAAACGAATAAAAACTATTACATCCAAGGTCATTAGAGAGCAAGATTACAAATCTAACGGGCACATGATAACTTGCAATTCTAATGCTAAGTAGTTTTCACCTTGCAAGTTTTTTCATTGAGAACAAACCACCGCTTAGTCCACTCATTCTTCTCACTTTGTTTTAGAAGATAACCTGCGCAGAAATTAGAGCACACATGCATGTCAAACTCATAAAGGAGCAACAACCGGCTATACGTAAATATTTACGATGGTACAAGCTTACTACCACAAGAGACACACAGCAAATTATGCCAGAAGGAAAAATTACCTGCAGCATTATCTCCCACTATCTGCAAGGTTGACGGTGCATCCGTGCTCTCTTTCTTTGCTTCCTCAGCTTTCTTGGCATCCTTCAAAGTTCCTCCAACATTGGTTGGGACTGTTGCCTGTAGAAGTAATCCATAACTATATTTAGATAACATGAAAATCGGTGGAGAATAGTACGGTAAAACCTGCTACTTTGAACACCAAATATCATGCTACATGATAACATCGAAAAAGAGGACTAGCTAAATCATTTATTTCTTCAATTGGTATTAAGTATTCACTTCTTAAACAAATCGAAAGCTAAGATTGTGACATGAAATGATCACGATGTAGAACTTGATAAGAACCAACTCGGAGTGATTGAAAAACGTATGCAATCATGTGGAATCCCAAATAGTCATGACATTCATACACCATTGTGAAGTAAACTACCAACTAGACAACAACCGACTCTAAACTATTGATACTGCACATGGCATCCATTCTGTAGTTTTGAGGACCCAAGTGCACCTTGCTCAACAATGACTGCTCAGCGTCTTGAGCCTTTTTTGTCTGCCGACCCTTTACATCGTCCTCTCGTCGTAATCTATCCATCCTGCTTGTGCAAGAGCTTTTCAGGAAGGAACAAAACCGTGACAAAGCTCGTGGGTTTGTAGCATAGAAATATTTACTAAGTTCTTTGATTAAGTAATGCTGAATGAGAAAAGATACGATTTGTAATTTTCGATCTTCGAGAACAACAGATATTGTGCAAATAAAAATTAGAGCTTTACCACTCGGCAATGTTCACAGCAAGTTCACACTGGTGCTATCCAAGTATACTTCACATGTGCCGGTGCACACTGGTGGCCACAGAAGATAGATACTTTGTATTTTAAGTTATGTGAACAAAAGTGCTGAATCCAAACAGTGTAGCTCTAGACCGTTACTGAATATCTCCAATCTTTACTAATATCTTGGGAGTAGATGAAGCACCAAGTAAGTCGAGATATACCTGCGTTGGACAAGTCTAACAAAATGTTGAGGTGGGATAAATGCACGCTCCATGTCAACAAGAGCAACAACCATTTTCTTTGATTCAACCCTGTATTCGTCCAGCGCTGAACTGGCAATGGCAACAATCTGCAAACGCATAGCCTCAAAGAATCATTGAATAATTTTAGCCCAACACACTATAATGTACCACATTTATCGAAGCAGATACTACGAAGGAACCGAAATTGTACAAACCTCTCTCTTCAGAGGTGGATATCTTGCTAGCCCCGGAGTCCCATTTGCAGCAGCAGATACTATATCAATAAGAATACGGTGAACCTGAAAAAAAGATTCAGCAGTTAATAGGCAATTAGCAAATAATCTTGCATGCCAAGCCATCCTTGATCAAAAACTTAATCTACATTGTGGTTTGCAGCTCAAAACTCTCGAGTCTTGATCTCATCGAAACCACAACGATTAACTTGACGGTTCCCTGCAAAAACAGTCCTATAAGGGACGAAAGATAGTAACTGAACACACCTCATCCACGCAAGCCTTCGCTGGATCTTTTGCCAACTCTAATGCCTTCCTTACAAGTGCTCTTAAACCCTTTTCTGGTGACAAAAGGTATGGTTGATAGCCATCTGCTTGAAGAACCAGCTGTTTCAGACAATAACAATTGAAGAATTAAACTAATCAGTCTTATAGTGGTGAGGAAAGCATGAAAGCACTTTTAGGAGCACCCGAAATATGAAGAGAGATTAGATGTTCGAATTCACTGCCAAACGCAAAACTTAATTCAGACATGTCAACTACCTTCTTAACGCTGCTGATCTCAAACATCTGGTCAAGCGGTAGATTCTTAATCCTTTTGGGCAGCACACCTTCAAAGCTTGACACCACTCTCCACCCTTGACCCTATGAGGACAAAAGAAATAATTAAGCCAGAACTTAACAACAAACGTAAACTTTAGGGGTAATATGATTCTTTACCTGATATCAATTCGACAAGTGAAAATTCACGAAAAAAATGTCGATCAAGTACACCCAATAACTTTCAACTGCTCCTTAACTTTAGATCTTCGCTTTGAAATATTTTGAAGACTTCGTCAAAAAAAAGGTGAGGGGAATAACACGAAGTTTTTTGTTCGCAAACAATGATGACTCCAAGAAGCAGCATACCTCCCCGGTATTGATGTGTTGCAAAAACATATCCTCAAACTCTCGACACAGCTCCAATGCGATTGCACGCGTCCCTTCTGAAGTTTGCACCCTTTGTTCTCCCAGTCTAGCTATTTCTTGCTCAACAACTTGTGACTTCCCCTCAAGCCTGTTCAATGGAACTCAATCAAGTGTATTCAGACAAAACAACAGCAACGTTTCAACTCTCTGGGTAAGCTGCAAAACATGTATTAGGGTAAGGTTTCACAAATTTAGAAACATGAATAAAAACACAACGGGGCTTCACATGATTCTTTAGTGCTACAGCTATGACTAAATCTACACGACAACATCATCTTCGTCCTTTAAGTAGTCAGCATTACACACTCTTAACATTAGACCCTAAACATTTTAACTTAATCGAGCAGATTTTATAGCAAAGCTAGCTTCATTCTAACATGACCCATCGACAAACTAGCGAATAAGGACGTACCAACAATAGATACCACCGCTAACATGAACTTTAGCCAACCAATTCAAAATTCAAACAACCTTCGGGTGCGTACTTCGGCTTGCGTAACACCAAGACCTAACGGATCAAGTTTTTGAATAGCTAGTCGTACCTAGATAATATATTTGGAAGTCTCTGTTTCAGACGGTTTCGGATTTGGTGGGACAAGGTCTCAACCAAAGATATCCGTCCTAGCTTAGTCGGTGGTGCTCCATTTAAAATAGACTTTAATGATTCCATTTCAGCCCTCCAAGCAGTATCTAAAGAGTCTTCACCATTCGAATGTGCTGTTGAAATGGAAACAGAATGGCCAATCAGTGCAACCCAGGGTATGTCCGCAGTAGAAGGGGGGCCTTGACCAGATATGAGTGCATTTACAGCAGCTAAGCTTCTTGGATCCGAGGCTGCTTGGTCGACTTTGCTAATCACACCCACAGTCCTTGATCCTGCAGCACATAAAGAATCGGTCGGTAAGTCCATCTCAATGTTACTAGACGCTGCATAGAGAAAGTAAGTCACTTCTAACCAAACTTTGAAGGTTAGCTAATCCAAAACTAAAGCAGAAAGGAATTTGACAAGCTGATATTGTAAATTCAAAAGAAATTAGGCATGACCGCGGACCATCAGAGTCCAGTTCTTGAGCTAACTTCAAAGCCTTAGAAGCAGCAACTTCGCGACATGACGTTGCTGGTATCACAATAAGTAATATGGCATCATTGTTTGCCGCATGGTCATGAGCCTGCATGGAGATTTATATGTATTAATGAAACATAACTGGTACCCCAAAATAATTCACTACAAATGTAGATGAGAAAACTGCATTGCTTTTATAAAACCAACTCAGCTGAACGAGCCCGTAATCACATTTGTATATGTCGCAGCCTTTTGATCCAGTAGCAATTATAGCAAAACAACTTACAGGAGAATCATCAGTCGACGATCTTGGGTCAAGTCCAGGAAGGTCAATCAGCTTCAGTGGTGGCGCTATACACAAAACAACACAACTAACACCAGTGAGAAGAAATAAAAAATAAAATATTCAAGAGATCCTAACCAACAAAAGTTTGAAAAAATTGAATACAATTACAATTTGAGTGAAACTTGACAGTAGAATGGACTGGTATCAGTCTACAGACCAAATTTGCAATCCACAATGGAGTCGATTGAAAATCATACATAAGTTGCCGATTGATATCAACATAAAAATGTATTACTAAGTAAAAACTACAGTTATCAACTGAAATCAGTTACGAAGATGTGCAAGAACAAGCTACTTACTAGAAGCTGAGCGAAGTGTCAACCGAATTCCTTCAGACCTCCCCTGAGAGGCGGTTACATTTTTTAACCTCCCTTGCAATGAGTGCCGCACATCACCTGTACAAAGCCATCATGTGTAAAAACAAATTAAAAATTCATAAAAAAACAAGTAAAAAAAGGTCAATCGGGCCGCCACCAAATCTAACCCTATGTTGTAATAGATACTTGCGGAGAGGTATATCAATCACATAACAGCAAGATTCGCGAAAACCCTCAAACTATACTACTCACCTGCTGAGACATTTTGCGTTCTTCCATCCAATACAACCGCCAATCCTCTGCTGCTACCAGACTTATCTCGCTCCATATCAAGAATAATAGGAGCTCTGGTCGCTCCATTTTCTCCTGTTGGCTGCAATTCACAAGACAGGATGGTTGCAATTCAAGAGCTGTATTTGCACTTGGCAGATTGGAACACACGCGGAAATAACCTTGCGAGGTGTATCGTCTCAATACTGTTCTCGAATGTAAACAATTTCGAAAAACACATGATAACCTGATCAATTGTATGCTTCCCTAGATTATTCTATCAAAGTCAGAATGAAATGAGCACAATTGAGCTGTCGATCAAAGAGTAACAAAGCACACTAACCAAAACTGGGTGACCAATGAGGCTATTCAACACTGCTGACTTCCCCGCACTCTGGAATTAGACAACAAATACCACAGAAAATAAGTATGAATAGCACCATTTCTCCAATTTCAAAGGTATCTACAACAAACAAAACAAACCACTCGGGGAGCGGGGAAAAAACAGAAGAAAAAAGGCGTTCACTGTTGAATCATAGTAAAGGCGTTCCCTTTTAAAAACCTCACATTCCTCCACCTTCGCGAACTGCTAACAAGAGTGACATAACAACGCATTTATCATAGAGTAGTGAGGCACACTTGCGCGATTTCACTGGTGCATTTTGAATCGTCGAACCTTCAATCGCGACAAAGTTTGATAATTCTACTGTTCCAGGAAATTAGCCTCGTGAAGAGTCGTGCAATGATACCAGCACGAAAGATTTGGGAGCGTCGGGTGTTTCAGCTAGAAAGGTTTATATCCACTTTGGAATGGATTGATCGAACTAAAGTTGCCCAACTCTCGATTCCCCTCTTATGTGTCAAAAAACTGTCGCCACATATTTAAGGTTAAAAATAGGAAAAACTGTATCACGGCCGTGCTCAATGTGCATAACCTCCTGGTCATAGCTCATTCGAAACCCCCTTCTGAATTCTTTGATAGGTGACGTTTCACAATGACGCATAAATTCCTCAGAAAATTCAAAAATAGACATTACCCGACCATGGGATCCGATCAACTTTCACTATTATTACAGCGATTCTTCCGGCTATAAGTGACCTCGCCATTTCCCAGTCTTGTGTATGACGGACCAGCAGTGCAAACGTGGCAGAGGCTTCTTCAAATACACTGTGAACGTTCCCTTAATGTGCATGTGCATGACAGGATCACCGTACGTCTCGAGCATGCCTTGTGTTTCCCTGAGTGAGGACTGGTCATTCTTTCGCTAGACTTTCCACGCTACAAATCCGTGTGAATTGATGTATTTGCAAGGGGAGTGAATAAGATAGACCAGATGTTAACACTGAAGTCCCAACTGCGATTGTGGTAAGCTCGTAGAATCACATCACCAGCTGCCCGGCCTGAATGCTCCTATTCAACCTCGACCTTGCATCAAATTTCACAACAAAGGTTCCGAGACACCAAACCTATAAAAGCTGGTAACGTCGTGAACACCACCTAAACTTAACCTAATCGCCACTGGAACTCGCTCATAAACCGGCTGATCGTCACTATCAGCTCGTAGGACATACATGGAAACTTTGTGAGACACGTACCACATTACCAAGAGCAACCACGCTGAGAAACGAGGCGGACGCTTTAGACGCATCGCCATCCTCGTCTGCCAAAATGGCGTTAGCATCATTTATTTTTTCCGACAGCTGTATCATAGCATCGATTGCACCTGCAACCCGCTCCATGACAGCTTTGTTCTCCGCCATGCTTCCTACCAGACCAAAACTCAAACAAAACCCCTAACGCGACCTCAATTCAGGGCTTCTTCGATCACCAACCCTCCACTTTTGCCACGCCTCTATTCCTCCAACACAAAGAAAAAAAATATAATAAAATACACCAATTATCCACCGTCCAACAAGACCCAAACCTCACAAAATTTTGCGAATTTTTTCCACACCAAGATACGGCTCATTGAATCAACTCGCGCCTAGAAAAGCCCCAATCTGCCTCCAGAACCTCCAAAGCCATCTCCCACATCACTCAGCTGCACCACGAATTCATCGTCACCGGCGAGTTATTCTCTCCTTCTCCCTCTCTCTCTCGCACTCTCGTGGTGCCGTTCACACGCACCTTCTTCGTACCACTACACTTCGTAAAACCCTCGACAGGACCTCGCAATTATGACAAGCCAATTGCACGCCAATTTTGAAAACGAGCAGCAGAAGGTGGTGCAAAGGGGAGGGGGGAGAGGGGGGAGAGGATCAGGGCAGCAGCGAGAGCGAGCACGACAAAAGGCAAGCTGTAGCCGGGACTGGGGACGTGAGGACCATTATCCAGCGGAGGGGCAGAGTGAAATTGAAAAGTTGTAGCATACGCAGCAACGCAGCAGAACGCAAGCAAGCAACGGAGAGGCGAGGCCTTGTGAGCGTGGCAGTCACGGTTTGTGGGGCAAAGCAGCAGCGTGACACGAACCAAGCGCAGGGGAGCGCGACGCCGTGGCTCCCTCCGTCCGACCTGCCTGGCAACTTCAACAATGCCTACCGGGCCCGGGCCGGCCCTGCCCTGCCTGCTGCTTGTGCTGCTGCACCCCTTCTTCTGGCCCTGTGCGACTTCGCAGACCTTTCTCCAAGGCTTGGTCCAGGGAACCCCCCCGCTGGGAACTCCGGGAACCTCCCCGATCCCTTGTTCTCACTGCCGTCTACTTTGGAATTTGGAGTGTATGTGCGAAGCTGCTAGTGATCTTCGTCTCCCCATATTCGCGCGCGAGCGGAACTTCGAGGAGAGTAACCAGGTGGTGTGACGTGTTGTTGGCTCTGCGTCGAATCCCCTTTCGTGTCGAAGTACTATGAAGGATATCTTTCCATTCTGGTTTTGCGAATGAAAATTTTGCGGGCAATTAGTTGCAATGTTTCTTTGTGCAACCAAGGTGGCGGTCGGTTTATGGTAAATTCGATAACACTAATTAAGTTTACTGTGAATATTTATGTGTAAATGCAAAAAGCTTAATACTTAGACTTAAGTTTTCTATGAATAACGATGTAATATGAAGTTTCTCATAAATAACCAGGTGTAATGATTTTTTTAAAAACCAGAATGGAGACCAGGCAGGCAGCACGGGAGCACGAGCCCCGCACGTGCCCCGGCATGATCCCAGCACTGCAGGTCGTGGAGGCTTTCCTATCTGACACGATCTTCACTGATTAATGTCACCTCGCCGGTACTTGTGTCTATTCATGTTAGACCAAATAACCTCCATCACATTTCGCTGTAGAAAACACTTCGGTTCGCACATTCTGCAAGCAGACCGATGGTCAGAGGAGACGCTGCTGTGCAATGCTTCAAGTTTTGGTGCTGCCAGTGGCAGGCGCAACAGTTGCTGCTCCACGCATGACGGTAAACAAACACCACCAGCATGCTTTTGCTTCCAACAACGACCGCAGGATCTTCAAACTTCGACAGGGGGAGTCTGGTTTTCGACAGTTCTGCAAATTGACAGTCCGAGGAGACAAAATCATCGGAACCGGTAATTTGGTGGCTCCTTTGTTGTTGCTGCTGCTGCTGCACTTGTTTGAGTATTTGTTTTGTTGCATGGAAATGTATGGATCGGGCACTGTGTGCAAGTCCATCTTATTATGTCATGTGCTAGGAGGCCTTGCCAAATGATGACGTTGAAGATTTCAGTATGCGGCTAGAACCAAAGTGGCTTCGATGATATGCTAAAATTTCAGGTTGTATATGTTGAGGTAGTCAGATGGGTCTGTGTGAAACAGAACTTGATAGAGGTCAAATGTTGGTCAAAAGCCTAATTGTGTAAAAAATGCTGTTGATGAGAATAGTATATCAATCTCATGTAAAATCTGTCGTGGAGTTTTGCCAGAAATTCTGGTATCAGGACTAGTGAAAGTCGCAGTAGCCCTGTGCATATGAGTTACCGTTTGCTTCCCAACACGGCCAAGTACATTCAAATGATCCTTCTCTTCGTTAGCTTCTCTGACGAAGACTACTTTCTCGTTTACCCGGCATAGTGGGTTCACATCCACGATCGGCTAATGCTTCAGTGACTCACGCCGCGCTTAAAAAGGCTGGGTGCATTCCATGGTTCGCTATAGCCGATCCGCACTAAGAAGTGTCCGGGAAGATAACTGTCTCCATACGCCCAACTTGGATATTCTACACTCAACTCCGATGACCTCTGCGCGCTTCGGAGTGCCCACTATCTTCACCCAATTCATTCAATGCAAGTTACTCCTCCCAAGGATCGGAAACAGTTGTGTGGAGCCCAATCAACAGTGTTTTCATGAGCGTTTGGACGAGTGTCTTCTATCCCACCGAGTAGTCAAGCAGTTGTGATTTGAGAAGAGAAATATATACGCTGGGAGTCTGCATTGCACTTCTTCCCCGAAAATCCCAGATAATTATGCCTTGTGATTGTCGAAATTGAACATGAGAATCTATAAGCCTGGGACACGCACGGGAGGCAGATGCTGTACAAGGACCTTGTTCGTCACGAACTGCGTCGTAATAGTATGCAATACTTTGAGCGTAGTGTATTATGTTTATGAATCCGTTGTTAATCCCGCCCTACAGCAACATGAGCCCAGCACTCCCCAGTTGTTCCCCAAGAAAATCGGTTCGTCTCTTTTATCACTCGGCTCAGTGGTATGAAAACCTTTCGCACCTCCCAATCACTGCTCTTAGACAGATGCAGGATTTGCAAGTTTCCAATCCTCATCTACGTTGGAATTATCACCTAGAGAACTGGACATCTTGTGGTAAAATCTCGTTAGCCCTTAGAAGCTGTTTGGGAATAAGTTGAAATTTTGATTCAATGAGTGTTTTGTTTATTGATTGTGGCAGTCACCACTCTCCTCCCAAACCTCCAAGATTAGGTTCTACATACAAGGCACGTCGTTGCGAGGAAGTGAGGTCCGCCGGTTTTGGTCTGACCAAAATTGCTTTAGGTTGGGGGCTACAATTCAAACTCTTTCACAAAGCCTTGTATTTTAGGTTCATTCGCCAAAAAACTTCAGTTAGCAGTCACAAAGATGACTTGTGTATATGTAATAATCCTAACTAAAGTAAGCCTGCGGCCACAGTAGTTTCATTTGCAAGGGGCCTTGCTTTTTCTGTAAGCGGTAAAACAGGGCAATCGATTTTGGACGAAACCCCAAGAGCAGCCTGTTGTAAGGTGAAAGTATACCACACGGCCAACTTCACGAGATGTAATTACGCCCTCAGCTACTGCAATTCGTCTGAGACTATGGTCTATGGGGAACCCTTGCCTCCCTCTCTCGCGGCACAAATTCAACCCTGGACTGTAAGTGTCAATGGTCACACAATCAAACATCTGCTTTCACGGATTTACTTTCAAAAACATTTGGAATAAGCTGAAATGCGACCTTATGAGCACTGTGTTTCTCAATGATAAATTTGCGGTGGTCTTTGGGAATGGCAGAACAGTCCAGAGAAGAATTGAAATGGTTCTGGCAAACTTCACCGTCGTGTCCGATGCTACCGTTTGATCGACAAGACTTCTGCAAGTGAGTCATTGACAGTTTTAAAAAAGGTGAATCAGGGTTAGAGGAACATCGCAGAATTGGGTAATCACATCACGTATTTGGTGCAGACGAATAGAGCGAGGACAGCATTTGTTGATCTCCAGAGACTCCATCAACTACCAGCTCTTCATCACGTTCCACAACTTCTTACGATCTGAACTTTCAGAAATCCAATACCCTTTCCACGGGGTTGGATTTGAACCGGTTTGTAAGGACGTGCTGGGAGGCGAGGGGTTCAACCTAGCGTGGGTTTGTAGCCCTTTGTTGAACACCACCGAGGTCACGCATTACATCGAGGAGTGGAAAATCGAGATCATCTTCATGAACCGAGGTGCCTGGTTCCGTTCAGATTCTTCCTTCTTCAATGAGCTCAAAGAGATCGCCAAAGTGCTGCAAATGCGGTACCCGCACTTGTTGGTCTTTTACCGCAACTCATTTCCAGGTATCCACCTCCAGCCCTCAACACATCTCCACGCTCGTATTTCTTCAGCTTGTTTCGGATCATTGTTGACGAGTCTCCTGGTTCTCGAGCAGGTCACAAGGGTTGCGTAGATCTACACAAGCCACTGAAGCAACCGCAAGATAAGAGTTCTTTGCCGTATCATTGGGGAGAGTTTGCGAGGCAGAACGAATTGGCCAAGAGGACAGTCCACAGAGCGCACTTCATTTTTCTGGATCCGGACACCATGCTCAGCTTGTGACCCGAAGGCCACATGGGACCGCCAAGAGATTGCTTACATTACTCCATTCCTGGACCACTAGACTTTGTCCTCTATTTGTTCTACAACACATTACTGCTTCTGTAAAGTGAAAGATTTCGCAGGAAGTGGGATAAGGAACATGTATAAGGGCTCAAATAACCCTGAAATTGAAAAATTGTAGCGTACGCAGCAACGCAGCAACGGAGAGGCGATGCCTGGCGAGCGTGGTAGTCACGGTTTGTGGGCAAAGCAGCAGCGTGACACGAACCAACCGCGGGGAGCGCGACGCCGTGGCTCCGTCCGTCCGACCTGCCTGGCAACTTCAACGATGCCTACCCAGCCTGGGCCTGCCCTGCCCTAACTGCTGCTGCTTCTGCTGCTTCTTCTGCTTCATGCGTACAATTTCACATCTTCAGTTTCTCAATGCTGTCGTTATCCGAAAGTAAATTCTCAAAATCATTACGCACAATACTATTACGGAATCCACATTGCATCGACTTCTACTGGTGATTGTGATAATAAAATCATCGTTGCCGTTAACTCTTATCCAAAAATATCCAGGTTCAGCCCTGAAAGCTGAAGAATGACAAACTATTAAAAGTGAATAGAGCAAACAGTTCTCAGTGGAAACAGAGTACCATCGTGATTTATGATCATGTTGTCTCGACTGCCAGAGCTAAGGACAGCGCTATTCCATGACATGCTTCCAACTCACGCAGAATGGTCATTCAATGACCTCAACTGCACGGATTAAGTACCAGCCAGAGGCATTACGGATGATTGCATGGACATGAACCCCTGCGACATGCATGCTCTACTAAGCGAGTCCGGAAATCCCTCTAAAGCTGGTGGGCAAATTCCCTGTCATCTGTGAGCTACATGTGACAACTGCAGATAAAATTTCATGCTCTACTCCAATTAAAGATTGAGAGGCAGTGCGTATCCATGGTCTGGAAGGCAGAGAACATATTTCCAAACAGTTAGACAACACATCTATTTATTACCTGACGAAGTTCTTGGGGGTCCCAAAGCTGCACATAAGAGTTGTTTAGCCTAACTGAAAGGTATTTGCCGTCAAAAAGACCATTGCACACTCGTGACAGGTCCATCTTCATCAGCAGTCAAGAGCTCCGCAATGGAACTTGTGGTAGCATCCCAAAGGTACACCATATTTGCAAGGGCAATGGCGAGTACATTAGTAGCACTCCAGTCCGGCAGGTTCAGGTAATTGTCGTCAAGAAGGTTTGGAGCGTCGAGTGTCCTTTCAGCTGTTTGAGGAATGTGCCGAAATTGAGCTCGGAGATTGGCATGATCAGGCGCTGTGTTCTGGGAATACAGGAATTTGAGACCATTTTCAAAGCCTTCAAAGTGGCGAAGGAGGCTTGCTCTTGAATGCGAGAATTCGGCTGTCTCTGGTTATTGTCGATGCAGAGAAGGTTTTCGGCAAGTTGTTTTTTGTATTCCTTTTGGATTACCAACGCAAAATTGCGGTACATCATCACAGAATAAGAATTTTGGCCAAGTTTTCCAGAAAGTATTTCGAGGGAATAGAGAGGATGTGGAGGAATTTCTGGTGGACTTTGCAGACCTTTCCAAGTTGAATCAAGTTGTAGCGATGAAAGAGTAAATAGTAGCACTTCCGACCTCACCTTGGACGGCGAATGAACATTACCATTTTCCACCGCATTCTCCTCAACACCAGCGAGCATGTAATTTGCATCGTTGAAGTCCATGTCGCTACGATCAGTGATGAATCGATCGCTTTGCTGTAAGTCACAGCATCGATATTTAAAGGACACAAATATTGACACCCACGATAAGGGCGTGCTGAACTTCGTGGCGGACCGAGAGGAATTTATATTCGCTGCATAAACATAATGAAGAATCGATGCTGCTGTAAAACTCAGCTGCAGAAACTCGACCTCACACAGAGAAGCGGTGCAACAGCATGTCCAAATTTAAATCTTACAAAAAGCTTGAATCTTCACATAATTATTTTGAAAAAATTAGTTGGTTCCTTTGTCAGTGAAACTATAAAATCTGAACACCTTCGCAATAGAATGGCGCTTTCTCGTCACCAAAGAATGAATCGTCACCCATCTCCATCGAAAGTGAACCAAATCTCAGTGGACATAGACTGCAATGAGACTAGTCTTCACTCACTGTGTTACATTTCCACTAGATTCTCTCATTTTTAATTATCCCTGGTGGATGGCAACGCAGTCCAGTCCAGTGTACCCTCCATGACCTAGGAAGTGGCCTTAGAAAATGTTTGGAGGTAATAAATCATTACCGACCTGCCAGGAGTCTTGCTCTTCGGAGAGTTCCAGCTCAACGGCTGCAGGTAGAGCTGTTCACTTAGAGGACACCTATCCCTCCTACCATCGCTCGTCGTGGGTAAGTGGAAAACTTTCGCCATAACCTGCACAATGGAATGCCCGAGTCTCCCAAAACGATGCTGGTGGGAGCAACCCCACAACCAATTCCCATGAGCAATATCCAAACCATACAAGTGTTTAATCACGACTAATCAAAGACTAGATCAAACCTAAAGTTAAGTGCAAGTGGGGTGATTGGGCAGTGCAACAATGTTTAGTATTCCATCGTAAGATATAAATGCAGTGCTGCAAAAACCCATATCCGAAGTCGGTGGAGCATATTCTATCAGACGCAATCTGTGTTTAACTAGTGAACGATACGCTCCAGTGGCCCATACTAGACCGAACCCAGATCTCAATAGGTCGTCGGGGTATTATCAACGACTAGTTTTCAGTCTGGTATTGAAAGAACCTCATTTTTAAGTTGGACTGTTTTCACTTGTGAGAAAGAGAAGCTTAGAGCCTGTATTGGTGTTCTTTTACTGTGAAGTGATTCTTGAGTTTATGCATGTTTTCCTTCTGAGTTATGTTGTTTGTCAGCTAGCGACAAAGTTTGCGTATCATCTGAGTTCTGTTGTCTGTCGTGTAGCGACTAAGTTAGCGTGTCATGGTATCAGAGCGAGACACCTCAGAAGCAAATAGTACAAGTTAGATTGCGATCTTTTTTTTTCAGAAGGCATGGGAACGATGGATTCCGTAATAGCTCAGTCTAAAATGCTGGCTGGTCCGAAAAACTAAAAAATATGGCGCAGCACAATACAGAGTATACTGGAGAGAGAAGATCTATGGGAAGTTGTATCTACGACCAAGAAACTACCTCAGAATACTCAGTCTAGGTTATCATCAGCAGAAAGCGAAGCTGATTCGGGCACATGAATGGTGCAACCTGGAAATGACAGTAGGGGAGTTGAAGATGCAAGCAACACCAACGCGGAGCTTGCAGCAACAGTAACTCAGGAGCGGGAGCTGCTTTGCAGAAAGAAGACGCGCGCGATGGGATTTCTCCGACTGTCATTGACTGAATTGGTAAAACCTGACATACTCAACACCTCCGATCCTACCATTGCTAGGGATATTCTTGCAAACGTATATTCTACTCAGACAATTGCAGATGTGATGAAAACATTATACAAATGGGACAATCTGAAAATGACGGAAGATATGTCGGTATCAATGTTTGAGCAACATGTGTAGGACTTGAATTGAGTTGAGAGAAATCGACCAACCATTATCGGATACAGTGATAGTGCACAAGATACTGAAAAATCTACCGATGAAGTACGAGACCTTTGCGAGGATATTATGAGCTGAGAAGGAGACTCCATCTCTCGCGAGGCTAGCGAGCAGACTTCATATGGAAGAGACAGAATTTCGCTTGCGAACAGAACCAAATGAACATGCCCTGGTTCTTAGAATCAAAAACATTCTTCGAGATAAAAACAACCCGTACGTTGGACAATGAGCATCAAGTTCTTCCCCTCATAGAGTTTCAGCCGAAATAAATCATTATGGGCCGCCGTCTATCACACCTCCCGAAAAGGCTTCTCTTTTATTTGGCACTGCCGCCTCGGCCATGCTGGATTCTACATTTCATTGCTGCTTAACTCTCAAGATGTGTCTAATTTTAAAACGGCCAATATACAATGTCAACAATGCCTAGAGGGAAAACAAACACGGAATCCTATACTCAAGGAGAGTAACACCAGATCAAAGGAAAGACTGGAGTTAATTCATTTTGACTTCTGAGGTCCCCTACCAGTTATGACATTATCAGGTACAAAATTCTTTGTTCTCTTTATTGATGATTACTCATAAAAAACTTAGGATTGTTTGTCTCAAAGAAAAGAAACAAACCTTTGACGAATTCAAATAATTCAAGACATTGATAGAAAAACAAACTGTGAATTTTATCAAGAAATTAAGAACTGACAATGGAGGAGAATTTGTTGGTCAAAATTTCTCAAAATTTTGTACAAAAAATGGTATTATTTGACAATTTTTGTAGCCTAGCACACCCCATCAAAATGAAGTAGTGGAAAGAAGAAATAGACCCATTCTAAACAAGACATGGTGCATGTTATTGCCAAGAAAATTATCCAATTATTTATAGCCTGAAGCAACAAAAATTGCAATATATCTATTAAATAGATTGCTCATAAGAGTGAATGACTTCAACAAAGCATCAAAAGAAGTATTCTCACGTATTAAACCAAAACTTAATCACCTAATTTTTTTTGGATGCTTATCACATGTGCACATTGAACAACAATTAAGAAATAAATTACAAACATGATCAATTATAGGCAATTTTTTGGATTATGATGAATATACAATAAGATATTAAATATATCTATATCAACAAATAAATAAATAAATAATCATTATATTCAAAGATTTTATTTTTGAAGAAATGAAGTTTATAAATTATAATACATTATTTTTAGATAATAAACTTAAGAACACAAAGAAAAAAGAAACCAATACAAAAACTTCTATGGTTGGAGAATACAAAATTTGAATTGAAGAAAATCAGTATCCTAAGGTATTAAAATGACAACATCAAATATCACATGATTAATAAGAATACATGTCTAATTACTTGTCTCTACATTGTAATAATTATAATCTAGTGGAGACCAATTCTTAGGAAAACAACCCATAAGATATAGTGTCATGGACATATACATGTAAACTAATAATTACTTATATGATTTAGATAATAGTAAGTAAAAGTAGGTCAATTCCATAATATCTTCTATAGAAGATTCTTAGAAGCTTCATAGATGCTGCTTTGACTTTATAGGTGTCATTAATTAACTTTTTAGATTAGAAATGCGGTCAATAAGTGTCATGGACATACATATTTGTCTTGATAATTACTTAGATAATAAGAATAGGTAGAAGTAAGTCAAAGTAGATAAATATGATAATATCTTATAGAAAGCTTCTTAAAAGCTTCATAGATGCTGCTTTGCCTTTATACTTGTCTATAGGTGATTAATAAGTTGAAAACTTGCCCAACAAGGAGGCCACATGTCAACATGTTGAGCACTTGTAGTACAAGTTGGATATATAGCGCACACCTAGGAAACTTATCTTTCAAATTAGACATATGTCGTGCAAATTGGACGCGTATTAGATGTTCTATAGCATGTCACCACATAGTTCTTAGTTAAGTAGTATATATAAAGGCAAGAATGAGGTCTTCTTCACTCTTGTTAATTCTTTTTTTGCTTTTAATCTAGTTTCAAGAGCCTTATGTTTTCTAATCTTTGACAATAGCCATTTCAGTTCTTCCTTGAATATACATACTTTCTTCTATTTTGTCACTTTTCTTTTGATATAAATTTTAAGAGTTTATGTATCTTCTTCTAGTTTGTATCTTTAATAAATTAACAAGAGTATATATATAATATCAAAGCTTTGTCTTTTCTTGATTAAGAGTAGATTATCCCTTTCTCTTGATAACACATAAGCAAATTAGAAGTTACGGATTACCGTCTTTTAAACTAATATTGTTTCTAGATTTTTTTTTTCTTTTTTTTTATTTATGAATATTATATTCTGCAAGAATAGATACATTTCTTTTTATTGTGCTAGCATGGTAGAGCTTGCTGAAATGAAGAGTGCATTGGCTCAAATGCAACAACAAATGAGAAAATTAATACTTGCAATGTATCAACTCAGTCTACCACCATAAGGAGCAACAAGATTATGAAGTAATGAAGATATAGAGATGATTGGAGTTGCTTCAACATCTACACCAAGCCATACTATTGTTTCTACAACAAAACATTGTTTAAGTTTCAAAGAACCAAAAACTAGATTCCTTGAGAAGTTTGATAGCATAAGATCTAAGTTTAAAGGATTCATCAATCAAGTACAACTGGTGATTGAACTACAACTTCAAAGTTATCCAATTCAAAGATCACAAGTCAGATTTATTAGAATACTACTTTTAAGTTTTTCTTTATTATGATTTTTATCATTTCTTGAATGACGTGATCCAATATTGGATAATTTAGAAGCATTCTTAATGGAGTTTTGATTTATGAATGGAGAATATGATGCAATTCATATTGTAATCAATAAGATTCATACCTTACAATAAGAAAATTGATCAGTGACATTATACGCTTCACAATTTTAAAAATTAGGAACAAATATCAAGCGGGATGATGTAGCATTCATCAACCAATTTTTCTACAAATTATAATATGAAGTAAAGAAATTGATGTTCAATTTACCTAATCCTCAGATATTGAGTCAAGCAATTGACTTTACTATGACATGTGATAATTGACTTTTTGAGTTTTGATCTAAGAATTGCATAAAGAAACTTCAACATTATTACAATTTAATGATGACACCAAAGACTTCTCAATTTGAAAATTTAGAAGTAAAAGACATGCAAATGCATACAATATGTTTTAAGCCTCTTCGTGAACAAGAAAAGACTCGTCATTGTCAAAAAAGACTATGTTTATATTATGGAGAAGCTAAGCACACTACTTAATATTGTCCAAAGAAATGATGCAACTACAAAATGAGGAGTATTGCTGTCAAAGATGAAAACATGTTGGCAAATAAATTTGTCCAGCTACAATAGGAATTATGCGGTTGAAATCTTGTACAATTCCTAATGAAGGTCCTATTCTCTCCTTAGAATCCTCTCCTTGTTTTACAATAGATGTACTTTTAGGATCTAATAATCACAAAGCTTTTGACTTAATAGATTTAGGAGTTTCGGCTTGTTTTTTAGATGAAAAATTTGTTAAAAGTTATAATATATAGTTAGTATGAAAAACTAAATCTATACACGTAGAAGTCATAGACGGTCGTCCGTTATCTTCTAGAGATATTATTCATGAAACACTTCCTATAGATGTAGTAATAAATGGTCATAATAGTCGTATAATTTTTAATATAATTAGATCTCTCTCTAATCCAATCATTTTAGGTTTATCATGCCTAAAAAAGTATAATCTTTTGATAGATTGGATTTCTTGTAAACTTGATTTTTCTTCAAATATCATTAAGA